AAAAAAAAAAAAAAAAAAAAAAAAACACAGTTAAGTGCGTGAAAATGTTCGCTCTGGGCTCTTAAGCCTGTTACCTCCGCCACAAATGACGTCAATATAGCAGACGTAAGCGCAGTCATAATAATTTCCTATGAAAAATATGCTCAACAAGCAGTGGATAAACACTTCAAAGTTGCTGCTTTTGCCGCCAAAACGCGCATGCGCTGCCGTCTTTAACAGCCCAGCCGGCACTTTCAAGAAAAGCCCTTTGAAAATGGGCCGCTCCACGCAGCACTCACAATGCACTCCACTTTATGTATACAACGCCAGATACCAGAAAGAAAAGAGTTAAAAGACAATGGACACAACAGCACTGGAGCACTTCAAAAGCCGGGGCTCAAGCAATACTCCAAGGCGTACTTGAGCGGACAAAAGCAAAAAAAAAAAAAATCATATTAAAAAAGCAATAAAGCGAACGCCAAACAAAAGCGGTTTCGAACGCATCTTTTGCATTGAATTTTACAGATCTTTACTAGCACTACTACAGCAACAACAATAGCAACAAACAGATTTCAATGTAATGAATTATTTACGGTGATAGGCAAAAATTGTAACTGTGCGCGCTGCTGCCGGTGCTTGCGCTACGCGGTGTAACCACTTGCAAGCGGGCGGCGTTCGGCTGTTGCAGCTGCACTGCACTGTGCGGCAGACGGTGATAATGCATTTTCTGCGCAGACGCTCATGCGCGCCCAGCTGTCTGCCATGCCGTGTTGAGTAGAAGCTTGCTTTTTTCATAAGATCTTTTTATAGTTCGATTTTTTGTTGTTGCTTTATGAGTTTTGTTTGTATGCATGAGAGTGTAAGTGTATATTTCTTTCAACACACAAAGCAACTTACGACGCTTTAAGCGCCCAAAAGTGGCTGTAGCAAATCATAAAAATGGGATTTTCAGCTTAGCATTCAATCTTTTGCTTTGTCTGGCTGCCTTCACCTTTATCGCTGCTGTAGTTATTGTTGTTCTTGTGTCATTTTATTCTACTTTTTGTAAAAATTTATTTTCAAACATACAAAAATTGTGCGCCCAATTGCTGATTGTTTAAACTTTGCCGCTACATGAGATTCGACTGCGTCTAGGCAAGCGCGTCGTTCGTCGGASCTTTCGGTACATTAAGCTTTGTAGCGCTGTGCGCGTATTCGCACATAAACTAGGCGTGTCGCAATTTTACTAAAGTAATTAAAATGATGAATTTATGTTGAAGTTTATTAGGCGAGCCTAATACTATTGATTTACTAGTGAGAAAACTAAAATAAACTAAAATAAAAAGCTATATGGCACATATATGTTTGTATGCATATCCTACCAGCTTTAGTGGTCTTAAAATTTTGCTTAAAACTGSTCAGCGCGTATGCTGTGTGGCTTTACGGTTTAAATACCCGTTCAAGGTGTTGGAAATTTAATTAAATGCACGCAAAACTACTTCGGACAACAAAGTTTCTTAATGGTGCTCATTAAAGTTTTTAAGCGACGAGCAGCTGCCTTTTCGGTTCATTTGTAATAATTTGATATTTTGTAGATGCAATTTAACTCTTTTTTTTTTTTTTTGTTGACTCGGTGTGCCACTTGCTCCATTTCTTCTGATTTTTAGATTAAATGCCAGCACTCTAGCACAATTTTTATTGAGTTCAATTATAAATTATATACCAGTCACAAGCAACCTCCTATCAGGTTCCTAAAAGCACATATCGCGCTTTTAACCTCCTTTATAGCTCTTGATATCACCTACACCTCAGCATTTAAAGCAACAATCGTATTTTATAGCTCAAAATAAAAAACGGGTATTAAAAAATAATTTGTATTTATGCAGCACTTACCAGGGTCTGATGTGTCTAAGACAGGTGGTTGTTGTGATAGTGGGCCAGGTGTACTACCAGCGCCCGGCGACCTAGCGTCATCGTTCATGGCGCCACCATAKGACAATTGTGAACTAGGGGGCCGCTGCACATGAAAAGAAAAAGGAGAGAAAGGCAAACATTAATATAAATCATATGTGGCGCGCATAGCAAATAATTGTGTTAAATAAATGTATGGCATTTTAAATAGGTAAATGGTTAAAATTTAAATTCGTAAACATACTCATAATAACTTTACAACTATTGAGTAACGAAATCACTACCGCCATTATATATACAGCACTCATCATAGTTGAAGTCACGGCTACTCGTGTTTGGACTATGCTTCGCGGCTTTTTCGGCGGTGAGCGCTTCTGTGTGGGCTGCGCGCTGAGTTCAAAGCGAATTTAGTGTATAATTTAATTTCACATTTTTTTTGTAATTTTTTTTTATTTTTTTTTTTTTTGTAATTTTTTATAAATGTTTGTACATACTAAGCACGTTTGCTATATTCTCAATATTTGCATACATAAATTTACTTTATTTTGCAATCAGCATATAAGAAATTATGCAATTAAACATATTTTAAATTATTTTTTTGAGAATAAAATAATTAAGAAAATTTTCAAAATAATTCTTCAGCAATACCTCAGCAAAGTCATTACATCCCAAACAACGGCCTCTCATAACGCAACCGTTTCATACCCACTCTCCCTTGCACTCAATACCTCCATTACTTACATCTTTTTTTCTTTAAAAATTCCGTATTTTAATTACATATTATTTTTGTGTGTCTTGTAATTAAGAATTTTTCAACTATTTAGCCCACGCATGCGYAGCCATGTAATAAACTTGTAGACCTATCGTTGCTTGTGTGTAAGTGGGTAATTAACTGGGTAGCACATAAATTTTGATTACTGCCGGCAAAGTGGCATGACGAAAGCCACATAATTGTCTGTTGTTTTTAAATTTATTAGAAATTGCTTTTTAGCATTTTTTAAATTAATAAAATCACTTTTGACTAATGGAAAAGAATATGCACACGCAAAAAGTGACTAAACAAATATAATTGGTTTCAGACAAAACCAAAAAAAAAAAACAAATAACAAACATAATAAATAATAATGCATAAAACGTGACTGTCTCGTTTACATTATTGGTAAAAAGTAATTAAATTTCGTGAGCGACGCCAATCGAAACTTAAGTACAAAAATAAACAAGCCGCCTCATTTCTACGCCTTTTAGAATGCGAAGTGTTTGGAAATGTATTAATTTGACAATAAATTAAGTCGGAATTATAGACGACAGTCAAATCCAAAATATGCTGGAAAATGCATAATTTTGCTTTCATAATGACCGCTGGAGAGGTGTAATATATGGAATATGTGGACAAATTTAGAGAATAAATTTCACATTTTTCGGACWGAAGGCGATCAAAATTTTGTCGAATTCATGACTGACTTAGCTCAATTTACTTTTCTTCGCGTTTGAGTATCTGCGTAATTGAAATATTAATTATACAACCTTACCTAAAATTGAGTATTATTTAAAGATAAGAAAAAAAATTAAAATAGAAT